TGCAGAGAGCCCCCCCCCCGGGTTCTGGCCAGAGCCAGCAGCATCAAGCAGGACTGTAGGTCAACCTGCCCACACATGGCAGCAATGGTGGCCTGCCCCACCCCGGGGAAATAATGTAACCCCTTACCAGCAGGGGGGCCAGCAGCTCTGGGACCTGCCCCAGTCACACCAGCAGCCTGAGCCAGCAAGAGAACCCAGGCGTCCTGGCTCGCAGGAGGAGGGAGGAAGCGGGCGAAGCACAGGGGGGCCCCACCCCAAGGGAGAAGACACGACAGGGGGGCAGGGGGGGGCAAGGACCACAAAGGGTTACATGGGGTCAGAGGGCTCCCCCCAGAGGGCACCCGGCTCTGGGGGGAGCGGGGTGGTGGGTCCGGGGCCCCTATTTCTGCTCGCGGCGCCAGACGATGACCATGCCCTTGGCGTCGCTGGAGGCCAGCAGGCTCTCGTCGCAGTTGAAGCTGACGCCCAGCACGGCGGCGCTGTGCCCCTGCAGCTTGTTCACGATGGCCCGGCTGGCGCGCTCCACGTCGAAGAAGTAGACGCACATGTCCTCGCTGCCCGTCACTGCAAGGGGGTGGAGTCAGGGGCGGGGCTTGGAAGCCGAGGGGCAGAGTTGGGGGGCCCCAGCCCTGAGAACCCCAGGGTGGGGCAGGGCCTTGGCAGGTGGATCTCTTTAGGGGTGGAGTCAAGGGTGGGGCCTGTGCCACCACGCCCTCTTGGGGCGGAGCCAGGGGCACAAAGCCCCCTGGGGGGTGGAGCCTGCCCCAGAAGCCCCCTGGAGGAGCAGAGCCGGGGGTTCTGGGGGTCGGAACCGAGGGGATTGATTTCCTCCAGAGGATTCTGGGAGGGAGCTGAGCGGCACGCGTGAGAAACCGTGGGCTGACTCCCATGCCCCAGGGGATTGTGGGGGGCTGAGGGGACGGGGACCCAGCAGAGGGGTTGCCCCATGGGCCCCCCCGGGGGGCGGCTCTTACCCACGCAGGCCCCCTGGCGGAAGGACATGAGGGGGCAGAAGATGCTGCGCACGGGGTGGGAGTCCTGCTGGATCTGGAAACTCCTCTTCAGCTGCAGGGTCCCCTCGTTGTCCACCACCCTGTGGGCAAAGCGGGTGTGAGCTGGGGTGGGCCCCCCCAACTGTGCCTCCCTGCCCCACCCACGGGTGCCCAGCCCTGACTGCCAGGGAAAGCACCCCCTGCCCTCCCCATGGCACCCAGCTCTGCCTGCCAGGGGAGAGCATTCCCACCCTGACTGCCAGGGGAGAGCACCCCCAGCCTGCCCCCGGGGACCTCCCGGCGCCTGGCCCTGCCCCACGGCACCCCCCAGAGCCCCTCACCGGTAGAGGAGCAGCTTGTTGAGGCAGGCGTTGATGAGCAGCGAGGGGTCGCGGGCCTCCCGGCTGACCCAGGAGCGGGCCGAGATGCTGGTGATGGAGCTGCCCTCCTGCACCACCAGCCGCTTGGCCTTGGTCAGCTTCCCTGTGGGGCGGGGGCAGAGGCGGCGGTTAGGGCGGGGGGGTGGGGGGAGCCCAGCCCCCCGCCCGCCCCGGGGGCGGCTCACCCGTGGCCATGTCGAAGAGGAAGGAGAAGACGCTGCCGCGGTCGTCGCCGGCCCAGAGCAGGCGGCCGGGGGCGTCGAAGGAGAGCGCCAGCACCCGGCCCGTCAGCTTGCTCGACCCGCCCTTCACCTTCTTCCCCGTCGAGATGTTCACCACGTGCAGGTTGTGCTTCCCGTTCCCCACCTGCGGGGGGAGCCTCGAGCCGTCAGCCCCCTGCCCCCCCGCAGGGACCCCCGGTCCCATCCCACAAGACGCAGCAGAGCAGCTCGGCGCCAGTCGGGGTCGGGTTGGGGGCTGGGGCGCGGGTTAGGGGGCTGGTTAGGGGGCAGGCGGGCGGGCGGGCGCTCACCACGGTGAGGTTGTTGTTCATGGGCTGGAAGACGCAGCAGAGCAGCTCGGCACCGTCGGGGTCGGGTGGGTTAGGGGCAGGCGGACGCTCACCACGGTGAGGTTGTTGTTCATGGGCTGGAAGACGCAGCAGAGCAGCTCGGCGCCGTCGGGG